GTCTGTGTATCTGTGTCTGTATCTGTGTCTGTAACTGTAGCAAATATTTTCTCTCTGCGGCTTGGTTTTTTTTATCTTCTTTATGGTTCTTTTCAAAAGTAATATTAATTTTGTTGAAGTTCAATTTATTCATTACTTTTTACTGTGGTTCATGCTTTTAAGTCCTATCCAGAAAAACCTTTGCTTGCTCCAAGTTTGCAAAGATTTTCCCTGTTTTCTTCTAATAGTTCTAATTGTTTTGTCTTTTACATTTTTATCTGTGATTCATTTCAAAGTAATGTTTGCATAGTAGTATGATAACTAAGTTCTAGGTTTTTGTTTTTTCTTGATTGAATGTAGTATGAGATAAAATTGAGATTTTTATGGGTTTTTTTGGTTGTTTATATATGGATATTCAATTATTCCAGGACCATTTGTTGAAAACACAATTATTTCTCCACCTTTGTCAAAAACTGGTTATCTGAACTCTTCTTTTCCATGGATCCATTTTTCAATCCTTTCACAAATTCCACATTACCTTGATTGCTGTAGCTTTATGGAGAGTATTGAAATCAGAAAACAAGTCCTATAACTGCTCTTTTCCCAGTTTGTTTGACCATTCTGTGACCTTTGGATTTCTTTGTAAATTTTAGAATTGGCTCATCAATTTCTCCAAAAAGATTACTTGAATTTTCATTGGATTTCCATTTTATCTATTGATCAACTTGGAGACTTAAATCTTCTGTCTCATGAACATCATTGATCTCTCCATTTATTTTTTTCTTTACTTAGTCTCAGAATGTTTTGTACTTTTCACTGTAGAGTTAGTTCATGCACATATTTTGTTAAATTTATCCAAAATATTTCATGTTTTTGGAACTGATTGCAAGAAGAATTTTAAAAATTTAAGTTTCCAACATTTGTTACTAGTATGTAGAAATACAATTAGTTTTTATGTGTTGACTTCTCATACTGCAACCTTGATAAGTACTTATTAGTACTATAGCATTTTGGTAGATGTCTTAAGATTTCCTAAGTATGTGATAATGTTGTCTGCAGATAAATATGGTTTTACTAAATCTTTTCCAATCTGTATGTCTTTCATTTATTTTTCATGGCAGATTACACGGCTAAGACCTGTACAATATTGATTACAAGTGGTAAGAGTATATATACTTTCATCGTTCCCAATTTCAGGAGAAAGTGTTCTGTCTTACTATTAAGTGTGATGTTGCCCATAGATTTTTTTTGTAGATATTGTGTTTTAGGTTGAAAAGGTTTCATTCTATTCCTAGTTTACTAAAAATTTTATTATGAGTTCTGTTGGATTTTATCAAATGCTTTTTCTGTATCTAGTAAAATGATTATCTGGATAAACTTTTTAAATGTTATTATAGTACATTGATTTTTCAAATCATAAGTCAAACTGGCATTTCTGTGATAAATCCCACTAGGTTATTCTGTATTATATATTATTTATATTACTGAATTTGGTTTTATGGTATTTGAATAATTAATTTCACATATGTTTATGAGGCATATTAATCTGTTTCTTTTTCTGTGATGTTTTGGTATTAGGGTGATAATGGCCTAATAAAATGAGTTTGGGAGTGCTTCCATCCTTTTCCCTTTGTATAGGATATGTATAGGATCGTATGTATGTATAGGATTGGTATAATTACTTTCATAATGCAAATAATGGTCAGCAATTTTTTAAAACTCTTTATCTGGTTTGGTATCAGAGTAATAATGGGCCTATAAAATGAGTTAGAAAAAGTTTCCTCTTCTTTTTTACTGAGTTTCGTAAGCACTGGTGTTGTTTCTTCCTTAAAATGTTGGAATTTATTAGTGAAGTTACCTGTACCTGAACTGTGTGGTGGGGGGCATAATTTTAAATATGAATTTAATTCTGGTTTCCTATTTTTCTTCTATTATATTCGATAAACTGTATCTTCAAGGAGCTTGTCCAATTCTTCTAGATGCGAGTTTTTTTTAAATTTTAAATGTTATTTTAAAAATATTTTGATGGAGTCCTGGCCATGTGGCCCAAGCTGACTTTGAACTCCTGAATTCGGACAATTCTCATATCTCAGTCTTGTGAATAGCTGGGATTACAGACTTGTGCTACCATGTCTGGCTAGTTGTGAAATATTTTTAACATAAAGTTGTTCATAGTACTTATTTTAATGCTTTCAATGTCTGTAATATCTTTAGTGAAATTCCCTAATTTATTTCCAATATTGATAATTTGTGACTCATTTCTTTTTATTCGTTATCAGCCTAACCCAAGGTTTATCAATTTTATTATTGTTTTATAAAACCAGTTTTTAGTGCCATTGGGTTTTCTTTCTCCTTTTTGGTGGGGGAGGGGGGTGTCCAGTTTTTCTTTTCTAAATTTTACCTGAACTTATTTGTTGAGCTGTTTAAAATGAAAGCTTTGATCATTATTTAGATCTTTCTTTTTTTATAATTAAACATTTAAAGCTATAGATTATCTTCTTAGATCTGCTTTAGCTGTTCCCAAAAACTTTTTACGTACTATATTTCAGTAATTATTTAGTTCAAAATATCTTCTGATTTCCCTTTTTTATATATTTTTGATCCACTGTTAGAAACGTGTGCTTTGATTTCCAGGTTTTTGGAATTTTTCTAGATACTTATTGATTTCTAACTTTATTACATTGTAGTTTGACAATATACTCTGTAAGGATGTTAATATTTTGAAATCTGTTGAGACTTGTTTTTTGGATTAGCATTGGTTTATTGATACCATATTTCTCTTTAACACTTTGGGTGCATTTTCCTTTGATGCTTTTGAAGATATTTTTAATAGCTGCCTTAAAGTCATCTTCTGCTCAATTGAACTTCTGAGTCCATTTGGAGTCAGTTCTGCAGGCAGTGTTTTAGTATGAGTAATACTCAGTAATTTTGGGTTGAAAACTGCACATAATAATGCATTGTAGTAACAGTTCCATTAAGTTTTTTTCTGAGGATTTCTGGTATTTTGCTTTAATAGGCAGTTAACTTGTCTTGACTTATGTTAATTATTATACTATGCAGAAAACACTATCTCTGTTTAATTTTTCTAGCTTTCGGATGTTACCTTTCGAGCCTACTCTTAGGATTCTCCTCTACAGTCACATAGTTTAGCAGCCAGCTAAACATTTGAATGGAATTTATAGTCAGATTTTAGGGCTTCTCTGATTCTCAGTCCTGAATTCTGACAAGTCAATAAAACTTCACTTTTCTACAGTCCAAGCTATTCTCAAATTGGAAAATGAATATCTTCAAAGGCGTAGCAAACTTGTGATTCTCATGTGATTTAATTAATGTCTTTTAACTGTATCCTGTGAGATCTTTTCTGCCTGCTGTTTCTTCCTCCCACTCATGCTTAGCTTAGTGTTCAGCCAGCGATTTGGGCACAGCTGATCATCATATTTTAGGGTTTCAATCCTTCTGGAATGCTCTAACTTTCAGAATTTTCCTCCAAAATTTTTTGACAACCCTGAGTCTATTCCTCCACCTCAAGCTCGAAAGCATATGATTTTGTGCTGCCAGAGCTAAGAGAAACTTGGAACATTCTTAGGCAGAAAACCCCACAAACGTGAAATTCTTACATGTTAAGTTCACTGCCTTTCAGAAGGAAACTCGGGTATGGTTGTTGCCTGCCTTTATTGCTTTCTAGAGCCTTCACATAGCTAGTGTTATAATTATAGCTGCAGGAGGTTTTGCACAATGATTTCCTGCTGATATTTCCACTAGTTCAAACTTCCTTAGGATTATTGTCAGTAGTATGATTTTTACAAATATTAATAATGCCTTGGTATAGTATATGAATTCAGTTAATATTTGTAGAGTAAATTAATAACAGCTACCACCTTTTTTAGACAATGCAGTAAATTTACCTGTCTCGTCTTTGTGTTGTCTTCAAACTATTAAGGAAAGAAAGCTGATATAAAAACGTAGTCCCCTAGTTTAATATCAGTATTTAGAGAACAAAGATAAACTGAAGCTATTTTTATTACATAACAAAATCTCAAAAATATAAGATGTTTTTACCTAACAATTCTCATGATTCATCATTTAATCATTAAAACTCAGAACGAGGAAGGGATGAGGGAGTAATAAAAAGCAAAAGGACTGTTTACCAGGAAAACATTTAGTACAAATGTAGGAATTCTATCAAATTAAAATCTATTTTAAATTATTGTTAGATTTCAAACCCAAAACGCGAATGCAGGATTAATATTATTTTTGCAAATTTTATGGATGTTATTAATCAAGCTGTATATATTAAGTGCTTAAGTATTGTTACAAAGAAATGAGGTATGAGTTTACAGACTGGTTGGTGGATAATAATGACTATTTTAGATGTGCTGTGTCTGAGGAAATGCCTGCATCTTAGTAAAGAAAAAAGTGTCAAATTTCTTTGATATTGTAATCACACAAAACCCTCTAAATTTTGTGGATGTCAGAGTGGTATAAAAGTTGCAGAATCAGGAAGTCTCTATTAAAGTACCTACTTCTCATTGACCATCTTGTTTTGTTTTTTATTTTATATATTTTTTTGAACCAGAATCTCACTCTGTCATCCAGGCTGGAATGTAGTGGCATGATCATGGCTCACCGCAGCTGTGACCACTTGGGCTCAGGAGATCCTTCCTCCTCAGCCTCTTGAGTAACTGGGACTACAAGCATGTGCCACCAAGCCCAGCTTATTTTTTCTTTTTTTGTAGAAATGAGGTCTCCTGTTGCCCAGACTGATCTTGAACTCCTAGACTCAAGCAGTCCTCCTTTTGCCTTGGCCTTCCTAAATGCTGAGATTACAGGCGTGAGCCACCACACCTGGCTCATTGACTATCCTGTCAACTCTTAGCCCACCTAACTGTGCCTTCAGAAAAGTAGTTACTACCCTACATCACATACTTGCTTTAAGGAAAAAAAATTGTAAAAACACATGAGTGTGCTTGCTATATGATAGGATTCTGACCATATATATATATTTTTGTTTTGTTTTGCAGAAGAGGATAAATATAATATTTACTCACCTTTGCTCTTCAAGTATTTCCTGGCAGAGGGAATCGTCAGTGGGCATACTTTGTTGGTCGCATCTGCTAAAGAAGACCCTGCTGACCTTTTACAGGTATAGAATATACTAATGCAATATTGCATTTTGAACGTTTCATGAAAAAATATTCTTTATATATGTAAACTATATGTGTATATATACAAACTATATTTAAGTACATTAATGAGACCATGCATAAATTTTTCTCAATAAAAAATACCAAGTCTTTTTGAACATAGTTTCATTTTAAGTTTGTGTTCTTATGTAATTTTTTAACTTACAATTTATATCAGGTGGCGAAATATTAATAAGCTATTAAAAACTGACACCAAATGAAATTATTGGACCAGGAATTTATAGAAGTCATGCCTAATAGCAAAAAACTTTGTTTTATGTTACTCACTGAAAAAGGAGAGATAGACTTTAATTCTTTACTTCTAATTATAACATTCTCATTTTGACATTATTAATCTATTTTCATTCCAACTACTACTGTGCCAAAGCAGATTTTCCAAAGTCTAAGCCTTTCTGTACTACTAACAAAATATGACTTAACTGTTACCTTTAAGAATTCCTTAAAAGAAACTCGAAATTTTAATATTTACCTTGAAACTATTAGATGAAAGCAATCACTAACATATGAGTTAAAACAAATAATGAAATAAAAACTAAAAATGGCATCTATATAATCATCAAGTTCACTGGTAAGGCATTTTTAATATTTTACACTTCCACTTAGCACATGAAGAAACAGTTGTGGTTCCAAGGAACTACAGTTTTGTTTTTTGTGGAGTTTTTTGAGTTAGAGTCTCACTCTGTCGCCCAGGCTGGAGAGCAGTGGCATGCTCACAGCCACAGCAGCCTCGACCTGCTGGACTCAGGCGATCCTTCCACTTCAGCCTTCCAAGAAGCCAGGACTGCAGGTATGCACCACTACACCCAGCTCATTTTTTAATTTATTGTAGAAATGAAATCTTGCCAAGTTGCCCAGGCTAGTCTCGAACCCCTGGGCTCAGACAATCCTTTCACCTCGGCCTAGGCACTACAGTTTTTAAAATTTGTACTGCCAGCTTTAAATCATAGTTTAATTCTAAATATATCTAAGGAAATCAAAAAGCTTATACGTACAAAAATTGTTGTATCCAGTAGGTAGTATTCTACATTGTCATGATAATAAGAAAACTCTGAAAAAAATTAGAGAATGAAAAACCACTACAAGATATCTGATAACTATATTACTAATATGCCAAAGATATCAACCAGAAGAAAGAATTAGAAATTAGAAGTACTCATGGATTAACATTGTTTTGCTTTGAGAATGCCACAAGTGATTCTTTTTTATGATAAAATATCTTTAATGTACTGAATCTTTTTTAAGCAAAAGCACACTTTTACCTCAGAGAGGACATTTCTGACTTAGAATTCTTAATTCCTTTATCCAGAACAAATCAAGCAATTTAAGCCATTATTTGACTTACAATTTAAAGTCATTTTCCCATAGGATATTTTTATTTTAGTACATAGTCTGCAAAACATCATATGAGTAAATCCTTTCTAAGGAATTTTTAGCAGAATAAATACTAATATGAGATATCTGTCAGCAAACTTCTACACACAAGTATAAAAGTTACTATAATATGAAGGTCAAAACTAACATAATTCTTTCATGTGGATCAGGCTTTGTATATTAAGAACACTTATAAAATTCAAGACATGAACCTATGTATAATTTATTTTCTTCTGGTTGTAGGGCCTATCCTTGATTTTTTTTTTTTTTTTTTTTTTTGTTGTTTAGTTTTGCAATATTTTCTTGAAGTTTTATTTCTTCTTTTGCTCTTTTCTCTGGCTTTAATCATCTTGACCAGTTTTTGGGTAGTACTTCACTTATTAGTAGCAGTGGCGTAAAGACCACATTCGTTGTTAGGAAGCCATATAGGTTCTTCATAGATGTTCTGCAGTACACTAAGCTGCACCTTTATAGCCATCATAGAAACATTTCACCAGACCAGAAGCTGAAAGACCTATATATGCTGTATTGAACAAAATGTTTTATTTTTCTTCCTTGCCTCCTCCAACCCTGATAACTGACGTTAAAATCTATTGTATATACTTACTCAATTTCCTTTAGAGAACGGCATTTTGATTTAACTAATTTCTGACATCTTAGGTACCTTGAATTTGTACAAGTTAATATTAAACATCTCCATGTACTTTACATGTCCCTCTTTAGATTGTATGAAGGAGTTTTGAAGTTATAAAAGAAATAATACTTTTTATTAAGCTTTTTATATTTAGTCATATGTGCAAGTAATTAGGTTCTGCAAACATTTACTCATAGAAGAATTTTATATTGTAGGAGAAAAAGTGTAAAACTAGAGTAAAAAAAAAAAAAAATACAGTCTTAGAAAGTTGAACCATCTGTAGCCAAGTTGCAAGTATCTGACCAAGACAGGTTTGTAAGAACCAGATTTCTTCTCATGCCTGAAACAACTAAAGAAACAGCACAAGATATATGAAAAAACAGTTTTTACAACATCAAACATCAGACAATGAAGGATAATAGTTCCTAAGATAACACAAAGCAAAGAAGGTGAATCCTGTGATTTCCCTAGTCCTATGGTTTTGCTAGTGCAAGGAGGAGGAACTTGGGATAAGACAAACCTATGAGACAGGATTAGGAGTGCAGGAAGGTCAAGAAAATTAGACTTACAAGATGGACTACCCAAAAGGGTAGAGCTGCACATAGAGTGAGTTTTGGAGATCTGCACAGAGTGTCCCTGTTGTCTTCAGTGCATACTCATCTTTTCATGCACGTGAGGAAACTACCAGAGACTAGAGGAAGAATTACCTGGAAAATTCTGAGGGCCAAGAATAATGCCCATTTTCATAGTGAAAAATCTCATAATTCATGGGACATCGGATCGAGTATTTAGAAGAGTTTTGCATAGGTAATAGGCAGAACTACCTCCAGATTATAAATACTGTTCTGGTTCTGTCTAATAAAGCTTAAACATCAGGCCTGAAGTAATCAACTGTTTTCAAGTAACTTCAAAGCTAAAAATATAGCAGTACAAAACTACTTGAACACCCTACAGAATAAAATATGCAATGTCTGGTATCTAATTAAAACTTAGTAGAAGCCAGAAAACATAATTTAAGATAGGGAGAGAAGTCCATTAAAACAAAAAAGAAATGACACAGATGGTAGACAAATCTCTTAGCATAAGTTTTATTATAACTATATCCTAAATATTTAATAAGCTAGAGAGAAGATTGAACATGTAAAATAAAAACATGGGACATATAAATATAAACACAGATTGAACTTATAGAGATGAAAACTACAGTGTCCGCATTGACAAATACACTTGAGGTATTAAAGTAGATTAGACAGTGGGAAAGAAAAGATTAGTAAACTTCCAGACAGCATTTTAAATTATACAAAATAAAACATAGAAAATAGACTTTAAAAATATATTGCATAATTGAACTATAAGATTAACTTAAAGTGTCCTAGTATGTGGTTAAACTCCATGGTGGGAGAAGGGGTGGCACAGAACAAATATTTGAAGAAATAAGGGATGAAAATGTTCCAAAAATAATGAAAAGTATATACCCACAATTGTGAGGTGCTTGGCAAAATACTGAAGTTAAGCAAACCTCAAAAGTCTTGAAGAAAACAACATTAAACCACATTATAATCAAATTTCTTGAAACAATTTATGAAGGGAAAGTCTTGAAAGTGACCAGAGGTAAAAAACACATTACATGGACAGGATCAAAGAGAAAGATGACAACAGACTTTCAGTTATAATCAGTGCAAGCCAGAAAATCATGGAGTAGTCTTTAACATACTGAAATTAAAAAAACAAACAAACAAAAAAAACCTTTCAATTCAGAATTCTATACCCAGCAAAAGTATCTTTCATAAACAATGATGATTTTGATTTTACATTGTTAAAAAGGTTGTTTTTACATGAAAGCAAAATAGAGTCTTTTTTCAGATGTTAAAATCTGAACTAACCAGTACCAGACTTGTACTATACAAAATATTAAATTTATATATAGCAGGAACATTATCATGGTGGACAAAGACTCAGTGGTCAAGATTTCTGGACATTTTTCTGCTAAAGCTTTGGCTGACTTTCTCAAAACACTCTCATAATAAGCAGATGTTATTGTTCCTTGGCCCTCCAGAAAGTCAATAAGCAAAATACCTTGAGCATTCCACAAAACGGGTGCCATGACCTTTGCTTTTCACTGGTCCAGTTATACTTCGACTGAACCACTTTCATCTCTTTGTAGCCATTGTTTTGATTGTACTTTTTCTTTTTTTTTTTTTTTTTTTTGAGTTGGAGTCTCACTCTGTTGCCCAGACTGGAGTGCAGTGGCCGCTCTCCAGCCACCACAGCCT